AATTCTCACAAAAAGTTCGCACAAAACCGCTCATGTTTTCATAGATATCTATACGTTAAAACGTTTCGAGACCATGTCTCATCGTCGGAGAAATAAAGATGACACCAGTAATAAGTTTTGCCTGTTTTGAGTGTAAAAGCTGTGCGCCGCCATCTTAAGGGCACCTTTTAGTGTAGAGCAGAAAATTTTTGCTATCGTTACTTGTATACGTATAAAATGCACCGATAATGAAAATACTACAAAGACACGTAGCCGCATTTACTTTTACAGTAGCTACCGCCCACCACCTAATAACGCAAGAATTGTACAAAGATATGTTCGTATAGGGTTGGCCGGAATTCGTCGATCGACACCCTTTCCCAAATTTGAGGGCGTCTTTTGTCATTGCACATCTTAAGAATGTCAGTTTTGTTTCTCAGTTGCTGCCGCGTTAATATCCTGTTCTATTCATGTCGCATATGCTCCGGTACTCTGTCGCGTAAGTCCGTTGTCAGGCGACGTGAGAGTGTCGTGGTTGCGCTAATGTAGGAAATGGAATGAAAGCAAAAAAGGAACTAAGTTTGTAGCCTTCAAGATAACATTTCAATTGATACACTACATCGGTACATTTGAGCTTGTTGGGTTTGTCCGGGCTATTTATTATAAGAAAGTGTGAGATTTTTCTGTTGCGATAGTGAATGGCAATGTCTTCTCTGCGGTCGTCCTTGCCTTGTGTAATAGTAAGTTGCCAACCCGTAATATCGAACGACGTATCAAGAAGCTTGCCAATGCGGAATCGTCGATCGTTTTTCATAAAACATGCACGACGGAATATATTCTGCGAAGATAAACCTACACGCACACACACACACACACACACACACACACACACACACACACACACACACACACACACACACACACACACACACACACACACACACACACACACACACACACACACATATATATATATATATATACCACTCGATATATATATATATATATATATATATATATATATATATATATATTTGATATCCATATATATATATATATGGATGTCAAAAAATGTATCAGTATGAAAAATAAGAACAGGTGGCCAAGTGTTTGAACCTACGAAATAGACTGCAGCAAGCATTACCTTTCCGGTAACCTGTAGCCAACTAGCACGCTCAAGTCTCAGCTCCAAGCCAGCACATTCTGCCTGGCGCCTGCGACCCAGACCCCTTGGTTATAAGCATGCAATGAGAATTAGACTACACTAAACCTGACAGTTGGCTGTCTGCACCTGCTAAGTGCCAGCCAAGTGCAAGAACACGTAGGCAGTCACACTTCCGCAAGCCAATTCTAGCCATGCAGTTGGTGATGGCATGTCGAGACTTCAACATCGGATTGCAGTTCTTACACTGGTGGTTAGCTAGCATAAATTGCAAACCTGTCATGAACCTGCTTACGCAATGAGTATTGCGAATTACAATTGCAATTCTCACAACAAGCGCAGCAAAAATAGACATCACTCGATCGCCGTCTTCCGGTTAGCAAGGAACTGAACTGAACTAGAGCTAGGCTAACGTACGCGCCGGCTTGCTCTTCCGCCAGGATACCTTAAACTCATCTCATCAGGCTACTCAATGATGACTCAACCCGCGTCCGGTTGGCCGGTTGAATACCCTTCGCTCGAGTGGGGGTCAATTTGACCCTCTGCTATCCCAAAAACTGAGATAGCTACAGACACCAAACTCACATGGTGGACTGGTGTGTACGCAAACCCACTTGTGTAAAAATATGAGTTTCTTAGGTCATGATTTCGGGGTAAAATGTGGTCAAACATGATCAAACTCTAGATTGGTGTCGCAAGTGCCCCAGACCCTCCTCATGCAACCGCCTCGAGGCTAGATATCTCTTCTGGGCAAAAGGTCAATAAGGTCAGTGACCTTTTTGACTTTATAAAGTTAGCGTGACCTAATATATATATGACGTTGCTCCTATTTTGCCATTCACATAAACGTCAGGGATTACGCTAGGCAGTATGTTCCTAAAAACAAAATGTCGACCTGAAGTGTTTCAGGTCACTGACCTACTCTGACTCTTAAAACGTCCATGGAGCATGTCTGTTGCGTTCCCTGTCATACGTGATACAAAAAGCGCACCAGAATCTGCTTCCTTAAGCCAAGACCTCGAGTAAAGTGACAGGTTAGTTTTACAACGTTCTGACCTTCATACCTGACACTAGATCAATGGGATTGGCTGCAACTATAAATTTAATTGGTTTATTGTCTAAGACACTACCTCAAATGCGTATGGCTTTTTATAAAGTTCCCTTATTGCATCACATTGAATGATTCCTTAGAAAACCCTTTTGCTGACATTCGTGGCCCGACTGACCTGCCACAGGTCAGCGGCCATACAAGGTACATTTATTTTTTCCATAAAAAGATACTCTGTCTTATTCGCTGCTGGCATGCGAAGTTAAGCGCGGCAACACAGCGCAGTTCAAAAATCATTTTGGAAAAACCTTCGGGAGTCAATTTTGCCCTTACCCCCACCCGAGTGCGTGTACAGAGTCAAAACACGGGGCGACGAGGAATGGGGAAACGATAAGGACTAATGCGGGCCCAGTGAAGAAAACAAAATGATGGAACTCCCATTCATCGAACGGGTCCCCCACGCATCCCAAGCATTCAATGCTACGTGCCCTCCAACGTGTCGGCGGCCTATGCGTGCTCCCACAGCAGACGAAGCCAATTTGGCGCTAAAGAAAGGGTCGTGAAGAGTACACAGTTACAATGCAGGTTGCTTATCAAAATATAGATAAACTTATTTTGTGAAAAGGTGTATTTGCATTAAATACAGTTACATCAGGTAATCACGTACCCATTTAAAAACTGAAAATAGTTATTGATGTAATTTGCTGGAGTTCACATTACACAACACATAATTGACACATGAGACGGGACGATCTTGCCACCACCGCTGCTTTTTTTTCATATAGCATCAGCAAAAGCACGTTGACATCCTGTTCAAGAAGTAAATGGGGACGGGAGGACGGTGAAGCGGTCATGTATAGATTAGTTCATTATTCGAGCAAATGACAAGTAAAAAATGACCAGCCCTGAGACTTGATAGGCAGCAGATCATCTTCCACTGATTTTAGCATAAGATATAAGAAGTTAAGGTGTCTTTACCATGCAATACCCCCAGGTTTCTGGCTGGAATTCGGCAACATTTAGAGTAGGATAAACAATTATGTGATTGCTGCTTAGAGACCACAAAAACAAAGTTTCGGCTGATTTTGCAAAACAACTTTACAAGTAGTGCTGCGTGCCATTCATTTTAACACTCTTAAATGGCCCGTTTACTTGTCAAGGCGTGCTGTGTGTTATCACAGTACCATCTTTAGTTGAACCACATGACTCACTGACACGACATTGTAGAAATGATAGGCTCACGATTCAGCTCGCCGAATTCACGGATTATGTGGTTCGGCACGTGGCTCAATGCGGCATATTTCCAAGCCAGCGGAATCAACTCGCCACTCGCCTCAAAGAGATTGACTCATGAATCAATTGACGACTCAGCTCGATTCGAACACAAGTCTGCTTAAGCTTGATGTTGTTGGACACTACGATTGTAACGACGCACATACACAGAAAATTGCAGCATCACACATCTAATGCAAGGTTACAAAGTTACAACGCTTATCTTCCTAACTAATTTGAATCTCTATGACTCCGGATATCAGAAGGTTTTCAAGATCTGGCGCCCTCCCGACCCCATCTCCCTCCCAGCGGGAGGGATACGTTTTGATCGCCTGCGCCCACCTGTTCAGTTCACTTGTAAGAGATCCCAGTCCCTTGGAAGCGGCGGCGGGGGGGGGGGGGGGGGCACACACCAAAAGAACATGAGACGAAGATGAAAGCACTCATGCACGCGAAACTCCCCAGCCACTGGGCGCCGGGGATTTGCCGAGCCTGGACTACCGCAGATGCGCGTCTGCACGATTACAGACGACAGTTGAACAGTCAGCATACGACGTACGCGAGAACAATTACAGAAGAACGACGCTTATCAACACTCTAAGTCTGCAAACACCCAGAATATAAAACCTATACAGCAGAAGCTGTACAGGCTGTATACGGGACGTACACCAGAAGCTTATAAAGCTGTAAAGAAGCGGCTTTCGAATCGTCGGGGTTTCACTTATGGCGATTGTTCATAATGTTCTTCCCCTAAGGCGTCAGCAATCTGCCCCAGACTTCATCGGATCAGGGCGAGAGCTCCCCGCTTTGGCGTGATTGCGGTAGGGCGATGGTCGACCGAGTCCGAAGCCACCACCTACTTCATCGGGCTTAATTGAGGTTAGGGCTGCCGTCCGGGATCGCTCATTCCACAGTTATGGGATCAAGGGGAAAGGCGAGGGGCTAGACGGCGGTGGTCGCGGGTTGTCACTGCCGCCGTCTTAACTCGCAGGCTTCGGGGTGCGGGCAGGTGGTCAGGCGGGATTCCCACCGGGCCGGCCGTGACGCCGGCTCATCTCCAGCCGTCACATTACGCTTGCAGTGAGGCGGTGCGTCGTAAAGATTTTAGATAACGCGGTGGCAATGAAGATGACGGGTTGAATGCCCCTGACCGACAATGGATATTGGGCAGGTGCGCCGAGACCTATGCAGTATTCAACTGGCAACATGGAAGTTTTGCCACGAGCTGAAACATCGGGGTCCGCGTATTTACCACCTCGAGATCAAAGCACACCCTCACATCATGATTTCTGGAGCTTATTTTGGAACCCGCCATATGAAGTCGTTTTTCAGCGTCCGACGAAATTCCAACTTTTATGGCAGCCATGAATACATCATTGCCAGACCGTAGCGTCCGCCTGGTGCTTGCTTTCCAACCTTGCGGTGTGTGCAACTGTTCATAGATGTCGTCTTAGTCCCCCACGCATGCCGGCGTGCGGCACGCGTCGTTTATTTCAAGCGTGGCGGGATGGGATGCTATCACCTCCCGGTCGCCGTTCGGTGAACACGTGGTCAGCCGCTGTTCGCTCTCCCGACCACCCGACCCGCCCGGCCCGACCCGACCTGACCTGACCTGACCCGACCTGACCTGACCGACACCATGGGTCGCCTCGACTCGGAAACACCCGCCGAAACGTCACCCATGATGGGCGACAACGGCGGGATCAAGATGAAGAAGGAGCTCGGCGTGATGAACGGCGTCGCCATCATCGTCGGCATCATCATCGGCTCGGGCATCTTCGTGTCGCCCAAGGGCGTGCTGGTGTACTCGGGCTCGATCGGGCTGTCGCTGATCATCTGGGCCCTGTGTGGCCTGCTCTCCATGGTCGGCGCCCTCTGCTACGCCGAACTCGGTGAGTGGCGACGCGCCGGACGCACGGGCGCCGTGCAGCCGACGGGTGCAGCGGACGGGGAGGTGGCACATCAGGCGCCGCGTCCGTCTCGATAGAGGCAGGGTCAACACGCGGCCTCGGTGGGAGGCCCGCCCGTAGGCCGGCCAGCGCCAGAAACAGCTGCTCCGACGGCGGTGGCGGGCTGATCTTGGCTTACATCGTGCTCCGGCCGGTCATGAATCTCTGCTGGCCGCCGGCAGTTATTTGTGGTTTCGGCACCTCGGCAGTCATAACAGCATCATTCTTCTGTCTGTGGTACTACGGAGCAGAACAAACTACGAAACATGCCTATTTATTACTGTGATACCCGCCCGCAGTGCTGAAACAAGGTGTGACATAAAATCGGTTTATAAGCTACTGTCGTGGAATGTCGCGTTTTGCTGCAACTCTTTTGGCGAGCTTCTCTCCATACGTATAAATTATTCGGCACCATACTGCATTTATTACTACGTAACGAACGTTCAAGGTAACCTTTCCAGCATTGCCTCATGCGGGGTGACCCAGGTTTACATTTTTGGAGCGAGCCTCTATGAGAACAGTGTCATTGCGCCCAACAGAACCCTGCCACCGAAAGACAAAACGACACCCATTAATTTTGGTAGAATACAAAAATTAATGAATGCTTTTGGGCTCTCGTGACTATGAGCACAGCCTGAATGTCAAGGTTTGTCAGGACAGCCAATTTTCATTTGCTTGTATGGCTTAGCCAGTACTTTCTGGTGTAATGAAGAACGGGTATTGTCAAAATACGAAAAGAAGCCCCATGCACAATGCCGAAAAACCAAGATCTAAACGCCTTGCTCAGTTATGTATGGTATTTTGGTCGCAAATGTATGGTATTTTAAATACCAAAATGTATGGTACGGTAAAATACCAATCGTATGGTATTTTGGTCGCAAAAATGGATAAATGCTTACAAGTTATAAGGCATTTTTTCATAACTAGCCATCTAGAACGATGCAATTTAAACCTCCTGTGGACTTTGCATACTATTTCTGTTTAACACCACAGGTTTTTAAGCAGAGAGGCATGCCAACGGTAAGAGCGCTGCTTATTGTCCCAGGAGGTAGTCGTATCTCATGTTTTTGAAGCATGCGGGAGTTTCGCAGATGCAGGGCAGTCCACAAACTACATTACGCCCGGAGAAAGGAGGGGGATGGGATGAGATGGAGGATAGGGTGCAACTGAAGCGTAGCAAGGAAGGGAGGGTAGATTTTCGACAGCACAACTTTGCGCTTAGGTGTGGTTGCAAACTATGCTAAAATCTCAAGTCGCTAGCCTCCTGTCGTGACACATCCGTTAGATGTTTCGCATATCTAGTTCAGTTAGAGGTCAAAGGGACATTTCTTTTTCGGGACGTTGCATAACACAGATCAACTAGGGAGGAGCTCCGCCCAGCGTAAAAAGGCGTGACGTAAGTTTTGGACGCCTCATGTACACGGGTTTCTTGGAACAATATCTTAATTGTTACAAACAAAACTGTCACGCCGTGCGGTTGGTATGTGTCCAGTACCGCGTCCAGTGATCAGTAGAATGCTTTAAAACCCTCATGGTGCTGTTCATAAAGCTGTCACTTCCGCGGAGGATATTTGTCATAAACAACAGCGCTGCCTCAGTATAAATCGCACTGTACTGTGACCACTCGACGTAGGCCACATGGGGGAAGTCAGCTGGCGCGCATTTGCGACACCTTCACATTCTCAGGGGTGTCCTTCACCTTCACGCCGGAGATCCAGTGCGTGTTCGCCGAAGCATGAGCTCTTACTCGAAACCCCACTTCCACGATCCATATCGACGTAGCATGCCGCTGGTTGAATGCAAACATGACCGAAGCAAGTAGTGGGAAACCAACCCACTCATTTGTTTTTGGTGAGCTTTGGTTATACCGATGCAGTCCTAGATCGTCTCCGCCCGGCGGCTCGCCCGTGCACCCTAATTCTCGTGTGATGTTCTGAACAGTGGTCAGTTCTCAACGCCTTCCATAGCTCTACTCTTCGCTTCGCCTGGAAATAAGCATGGCAATCTCTCTTTCTCGTGATCTGACCACCGCAGCACGCGCCCGGGGCGTATTGCCCGCACAACTGAGAACGACAACCACGAGGCTGACGTCCCTTTGGCGGGGCGTGACCGGCAGTCTGCGTGCCCATCTCGCTGCTCGGCGCCCGTTAACTCGCGATCCAGCTCGCCATGCCTTGCGGTAATGTGGCAACCACCAGACCCTCGCGTGGTACTGAATGTGATACTGACCGTCGCACGCACCGAGGCCTTCGGACTACACGTGACTTGACTAACCGAGGCTTTCGGACTACACGTGATTTGACTACACGCCGTTTAGGCGTGACCTTGAGGATCAATGCTCAGTCCGTCAGCCAGCTGGACCCGTCTGCGGAAATTCTGTCGTGCCCCTGCATGACTACTATGTTCATTCATGCTGAATTGTCTAGGGGAAGGGGCGATGAGCAGCATTTTGGCATATTGAATAGATGTTGTTTCGGCCATGAGCCCGCGGGCAGGTAGTTACCACAAGTTTGTTCACAACAAATCTGTGGTAATTTTATTCCCGATTTGTCCATTCTACGCACCTAGCCTAATGAGCCCCTCCGGTGTAAATAATGTATACTGACTGTGTTTTTGCCTCGTGCGGGGTGAAGTGTTCATCACACATTTCTTCATGCGGAATACATATGGTGTAGTCCTGTTCGTAGCCTACGGTCCATGAACACTGAACCGCGTTCGATGGATCTGTGCGTTGGATGTACGGCCCGCGAATCATGGGAATAAGCCATGGTGCGACTTAAGTGTAATGACGCAGCCAAACCAAAACAACATTCTTGCTTCCGACAGCGGTGCTAAGGGCGGCAAGCTATGTGATGTTGCTTTGCATCTAAAATATGTTCTGGAAAAAAGATTGTTGATCTTTTTTGTGGTTTCACTAGCTTGTTCCAAAAAAATCCCTCAGGTCATTATGGTAATTATCTATTTGTTACATGTGCAGATGATGTATGAACTGCGCCTGGATCTCCGTCTCAGAACGAGCGGTTCGGAGGAGCGATACACGTGCTACCTACAATTGTTAAGGATATCCTGTTAACAACAACGTGTTTACCCCCATCTTCCAGTGAACTCCTTCACAGTCTCTGTGCAAGTTCGAAATGCTTTTATCAATAAGCTCAGTGACCGCACTGCAAACACAACTCCTGCAGGCCTTTTGCGCAAACGTGCTGCGTAGTAAGTGTGCATATTTTGACGATTTTTTGCTGAGTCTAGGAGTTAAAAATGTGCAGATATACTACATGTCAAAAGTTGTTATGTAGAGAAAACATTGTGCCGAAGGATCAGGAAACTGAAAGTTTATGTCAGGTTACGGTAAGTATTACCAACATTTTTTGAATGACATCCCCAGGTCTCCGTCTTTGGAGGGTATGTGCGATGTGCAGTATGCTTTCGTGACATAGATGTGGTGAAATAAAGGTCATGAATGTGATGAGCAATACCACATGTCACAGTTGCTCTATGTAACACGAAAACTCGGCAGCGGTGCACGCAGGTACTCAAAGATTCGAGAGCTTAAATGATCTTTTCATGTTTAACTTCAAAAGTTACTTTGCGTGACATTCATCTCATATTTACCAAACATGGCAATCATTCGTCAGGTCGCTATCACACAAGGTAAACAAAAAATATACATTCAAAACATCCCATTCTGTCCGTTCTGGAACCGTGTGTAATACATTAACTCGTATTTAAATCGAACTTAACTAAGATATATGTACATTACAACCCAAATAGTGTTTTTTAGCTAAATAAATCGTTGATTGAGTTGTGGACCCTCAGGATCATGGCCGTTCCACACGATGGGCTTCCAGTACACATGGAGAGTAGCGATGAAAATCGATAAAGGTTTTGATTCGCATCTCTGACTATGAATTATGAACTTGAGCAACCGCTAAGAAACGGGTGATCGATGCATCGTTGTCAAACACATATCCCTTTAAATGGTTATGTGCATAGCGAGGGACGTCTCAAAAAGTACGGGGGCGAAAACTAATGTTTGGAGTCGATTCCCTGCATGTGTCGCCTGGTATATAGGGGAGTCTGCTACCTTTTTGTGCTTCTCACGTGTTGTTAGATCAGACGAGTGTGATTTGATCAGTGATACTTTTTTCTCAAAATTCTTCTGAACAGCTCGGAACTTCTATTTGAAATAGCCGCTCCTGCAGGGTAAATCGCATTCTTCTCCTTGCTCACCATTATGAAAAAACTGTATTTCATTTGCGTTGCTCTTCAATCCACAAGCCAGGTCAATTTATTTCCAACAACTTTTTCGACGACTGTCTGCTGTGATGTTTTCAACATTCTAAACTGTCAAAATGTTTGTGCGCTTAAGGCTTCAAAAGCTTGAAGGGTTATTTAGTCAAAAAGCTGACAAAATTTAAAGACAAAGCACGAAAATTTTATCCCCGAATTCGAGGAAGCGTTCTACGACGGCTTCGATTCCTGCCTCATGGCGTTTACCACAGTCACTCTTTTCCTCACTTCGGCTTTGGGAATGGGAGTATCACATGATCCACAGTGACGCACTGGTTCAGACTTCGTCCAATGCGCTTCTCCGTAACAGACATTTGCCGCCCGCTGGGCCAATCACGAACATTCTCAAAGTCGCATCCGGCGGTTTCCATGGAAGAGACGTGATGCGGTTACAAAGCGTCGTCAGCGTAATTTGAACTCGAAAGTAATTGAGCGTGATGTCCTTTTATTGTCTTCACGGTGCTGCAGTGCCTATCCAATGCTATTATTGGACTTTACAGGCCCTGAGATTTCACTGGAGTGTGTTTTTGAAATGTTCCCTAAAGGTGAGACACTTCCCTCAAGCCGATTGGCAACATGGACCCTTTATAAGCCAGTCTCTCGCGCTGGCCCCAGACGGGCTGCCGCGCCGGAATTCGATGCAGCGCGACTTG